GTAGTTGTAAGTATTGAAACGTTGAACATCTAACAAGCCAGTAGTTGTAGCTATTCAAACGTTGAACATCTAACAAGCCAGTAGTTGTAGTTATTCAAACGTTGAACATCTACTACTTGAGGGAAGGCAGCTAGTCAGCACCACCCACCGCCAACTTTTGGGCTACTCTTTTTACCAACGAATAGTGGGATTGACCGTCACATTATAACGCCTTTTCCCCGACTGAAATAGCGAGCATATTCGGTGACGAAGATTAGAACTCGTGATTTTGCAAATTGAGCGCCCCCTAACTACCAGACCATGTTAGGCCTAAAGAACCGTGTTAATGACACGCTAAAACTTTAAATACATATATTTTTACACTTATGTAATAAACGTGGTTAAATACGAAAATACCCGTATTTTACTGTTGAAAACTTCTTCATTACGAGACTCACCGTATTTCTTAGCACTGTAAGATCTAATTACTGGTTCAGGACCTGTAAAGACATTAGATTTCATTCTGTCAACGACTTTCCTAGGTGTCGTGTCTGTCACGTCACTCCCAAACAGCTTATCCTGTGTGTCACCAACATCAAAAGATCTACGCTGAGGGGTGAAACCATTACCAGAAGCATCACCAGCTCCAAAGATGTTAGACTGCATGCGGTTCTTCATTGGACGGGATTGATGTTCATCATGACCATTTGCTGGACCAAATATATCACTGCTAGGTCCTCCTGGGGGCTTAGACACCCTTAACAGAAGAAAAGGAATTCATCACATGATAATACACAAGTGCAATTACAAAATTTCTTTAATGTTTCATGCAGTTTTTTTTTTTCTCAGTTAAAAATTTATCATTACAGAAAAACAAAGTCTAAAAGATATTCGAACTTATCTATGATCGCTTTAACAACCCAAACGTTTCTTTTCACGAGAAACTAAACGAATAACTTGCATCCGAACGTAAAAGCTTGTTTTCATTATGGAAATATCAAGGAGGAACACATGATCAAAACTACTACCGACGGTTAAGTAGACTTTATTAGAAGAATGTTCCAGGAGGTTCCATGCTGCCACCAGATCTATTCCTCTGTCATAGACTGACCTCAATTATCGAGAACACCTAACTGATGAAACAATGCATGCTAAGCGAAATAAATCACGTGTATATAAGTTGAAATTGATATTGGGAAACTGTCGTCCTTGTACACTAGATGGATTACGGAAAGTACGCAGGGAAGAATAGTATTCTTTGAACATCAACGTCTTATGCAGGAGTCTTTTGAAATTGAAACTACACTGCGGGACTATCGTCAAGATGCATGATAATGTTCACATAACGTACTCAACCCTCTGTAGTATTCACTGTACCTACCAGAAAAACCTGTCAATTGAGTTGGGCATCCGTGAAAAGCCAATAAAGAACAGTAAAACGTTCACAATTACACTACTAAGACCCCAAGACGTGGCAAATCTGGTATTTGAACTAGAATCACTTCTCTCTGTTGCAGTAGGCAATTCCTAGAATACCTGTAGCATCTATGTTACTAATTAATGAAACTTATGAACAATAATAGTTCAGAACTGTAATCATACATACATTACTGAGGACATTATAAGTACATTTTAGTTGAACATATAATTTAGAATAACCCATTAACTATCTTTTACAATAGTTTAGAATGTAAAAAAAAAGTACAAAAGACAATAAAAGGTTATGTTCAAATTACAAGTAAAATAAATAAAATTGTTAAATGGTTCTAGCACTACTGATAACCTGTTGAAATATGTCACCAGAGAAGTCTCATTGTTTTCATTACTAATAGCCAAGCCTTCCTTGGCTTCCAATACGTTACATCTAAACCGAATAATTTAACACAAAAGCCTTTTAGAAGCCTAATTAAATATTTCTTGAAACTAATACTCAAGCTCATTCCTCCATTTATTTTATTTTTGCTCCAGTGAACATCCGTTATTCATGTTGTTTTTGTTTTTATTTACTAGCAGTGTTCCACAGCAGGTCATGCTTATTGCGCGTATCTTAAACCAGCTATCAATCATGAACATTTTAATGATAACTTCTGGTCAACTTAAACTGTTCACTTACAACGGAATTCAGAATCAACCTGACCATCAGTATAGTTAATTAAATATACATTACTACTTATAAAGATTTGAATGCATTATTCATCAGTTGGGTACCCTCGCTGTTAACGATGTTCTCGGCCGTAATCCCAATAATATAACACAAGGTTCGGCCAGCTTTAAGTTGACAGTGCAAAACAATCTTTATAATAAAAGTAATGACATTCAATATGCTAATACAATCAATACTGTTAATTAAAGTAGTTGTAGGCCACTGTCATTAAGTCGGAAATAATGTTTATCAAGCTCTTTTAGAATATTTCCAGTCATATTGTAATGTCACACCTCACTTCTTAAAAAGAGCCTACATTTTGGTATTACAGGTCATAGAAATATATTACACGTATAAATTAGTTTATCCTGCAATCAATTCAGTTTAACAACCCAATCTAATTAGTTTTATAATGTTTCCCTTTTTTTATTTTTTAATTTCCTGAGCAAAAAAAATGCACGAAGAGCTGTTTCAGGGAAATATTCAAACACAAGTTGGCTTAGTAACTGATCAAGTCAATACATTAGTATTAGGTCTATTATACACACAACTTATGTACATGTATATACTACACTATCTTACTTACGGAGACTACCCAATATTCATTGTCAGTTCATATACGCGTGCGTGGGCCTTCCCGGCTTCTTCGGTGAGACACGTGTGTGTGTGTTAGCAGTTGTTGCCGCCGCCGGCTACAGTACTAGTAAGGCCTTTAGGACTAATGGACTGTTAGTAAATTGTCTATAATAGTTCCGATTTATCTTTGATAAAAGCTCTTAAACAGGATAGAACTAAAGTGTTGTTTGTTTTAGGGCAAAGCCGTACTGGGCCTATCTGCTATGGAATCGAACCCCGGACTTTAACACTGTAACTCTGTAAACTTACCGCTGTCGTACAAAAAATCGTAATTCGAGACGTGTGTATACAGAATTCAAATTTTATAAATAAAGTTTATTTAAAACTAGCTTCGTTATAACATACATTTGCTGTTATGTCTCCAAGCATTATTAGATACATTATTCTAATTTAAAGAGAATTTTGCCCTAAAAACTTAAGTTCCGAGTGCAAATGATTTCTATCTAACAAATAGTTTCAAGGTTACGAGTTCGGGGTAAACTGACCCACCCCCACCCCAGTGGCACATCGGCATTTCTGCATATTTACAACGAACGCTAGAAACAAGGTTTCGATGACTCCTTGATAAGTCTAAGGGTTTATAGAGCTAAAATTCAGGTTTCAATACCCACTGTTGGCAGAGCACAGATAACCTATCGTGTAGTTTTGTGCCTAACCACAAACCAACAAACCTGAGTAAGTAAGCTTACTTTCACTCGGAAGTTTGTATTAGTAATTTGTATATCAAACCGCTTTTTAACGTTTCGACAAGGTTTTGTCATCATCAGGTACCACACCAGTTTAACCCTCACAAATTAAAGAGAGAAAAAAAAACACTTTAAATATGACATATATTAACAAGAAACTGGAGCAAATCCCAAAAAACGCACTTTAAATATAATATACATTAACAAGAAACTAGAGCAAATCACAAAAAACACTTTAAATATGAGATATATTAACAAGAAACAAGAGCCAATCACAAAAAACACACTTTAAATATGATATATATTAACAAGAAACTAGAGCCAATCATAAAAAAACACACTTTAAATATATATTAACAAGAAACTACAGTCAATCACAAAAAAAACACTTTAAATATGATATATATTAACAAGAAACTAGAGCCAATCATAAAAAACACTTTAAATATAATATATATTAACAAGAAACTACAGCCAATCACAAAAAAACACTTTAAATATGATATATATTAAGTAGGAACTACAGCCAATCACAAAAAACACTTTACATATGATATATATTAAGAAGAAACTACAGCCAATCACAAAAAACACTTTACATATGATATATATTAAGAAGAAACTACAGCCAATCAGAGGTCGAGTGTGACTAGTACTCCACAACAAACTACTTTTTTTTTTCTTCTGTAGAGTGTTGAGAATGTCTTCAAATCAGGTTAACATAATTTCTGGCTAATGACAGTGGGATATCGTCTGGTGGAACTTACACTCTCCACGCCATGATCGTATCTACAACAACTAAACATAATTTATACACCGAGACATGAAACGCAGTTCAGCGTTAATGGCAAGAATGATAGATTTCCCCCAAAGTATTTTGAATAACATTTAAGCTTCTTCCCTAATTAAAATGATTAGTTACTGAAATGTACAAAAATTATGAACTGAGCTTAAGTCTTTAGTGTTAACATTTTATTACCGTTAAATACAAACGCATCTCGTTTTTTGTCGTCACGGAAACGCCACCGTACTGATTTTTTGGTTTTGATTTTAAAAAGGCCACTTGAACCAAAAAAAAACTGTACATTTTTGGAAATCTGGAGGCGAGTATCCCAATTAAGGCATGCTAAAGATCGGGTTAACGCCTCTGAGAAATCTCGACTGGCGTCTAGCAAGGTCAACGAGATAGTATTGGAATGATACACTTGAAGTAGACGATTCAACTAACAGGTTCTCCACGAGTGACTATGACGCTTTGCAATGTACCAACAATGACTTAACGTTGTTCGCAGTTAAAAAAAAAGACAACAAAAAAGTCTTCTTAAATCAATTTCAGTCTCAGCACGTGCTGACTAGGATGCATATCACACACATTTATACGCGTTCTGTGTCTTCAGCTGCCCACAATCATAACGTTGCACCAAGGAACTAATTACCGAACGGCTACATTCCTACACAAGCCCACGAGAAACGATATTGCCCAAATGAATGGAACGATTCTGGAACACAAAGGCTTACACGCAGCGTGATCAACTAGTCTGTAATTAGCGAGGCTCGTTTAAACAAAGGGAATACACAAAACAATAAAAAACAGACATTTTAAACGGTATCTTCTTATTCATTCAAGAGGTCTTTATAGATAATAATGATAACACAAATAATAAACGCACGATAACAATGAAAAGAGAACAGTTGTGTATTTAAGGTACTGCTTTATATTATTGTTCGTTCTATGTAAATATAAAAAGTAATTGATGTTAAAGCAGAAGAGTCGACTTGCGAGAGATCACAGTTAACGTGTTAAAGCAGTAAAAATAACTGGAAACCATCGTTAACGTGTCATGAAGCCGTGAGCATCACCAGAATTTATTTTTCTTGGCGGTAGTGGGAGGGTCCGTTTATTAAATCAATAATACACGTAGGCCTAAGTAGCCATGTGTCGGTAACAATCCAATACAAGGTCAATAGCAAGATTCATGTCAGACTGAAGAAACACGTCAGCAAACGGAAACGATCATGACTATTGAATGTTAACACTACATTCTGTAGTTTATGCGCCGCTATAGATTTAATTTTCCATGAGCTTCTAAAATATAGCCGTTCACATCCGACAGCACCCCCTGGCGACGACCACGCGAAGCAACATAAGTGAGGCAGTATGTTGTAGAAATAAGTTTGTTTCTTTGTTTTGGTTTTCGCGCAAATTTAGCAGCGTAAGACTAGAGGGAAGGCTGCTAGTCATCAGTACCCGCCGCCAACTCTTCTACCAGCGAATAGTGGGATTGACCGTTAGATTATAACGCCCCTACGGCTGAAAGGGCGAGCATGATTGGTGAGACGGGGATTCGGACCCGCGACCCTCTGATTGCGAATGAAACGCCCTAACCACCTGGCCATGCCGGGCGAACGTGAACTTAAATCCACCGCCAGCCAGGATTGACTTAGCGGTAAGTCTGAGGGCTTATACCGCAAAAATCGTGTTTTGATATCCTCAGTAGGGAGAAGACACAGATAGCCCATTGTGTAGCTTTGTGCTTAACAAGAAACAAACAAATAAAATTTTCAAAACCTGAACTGATGGAAAAACAAAACCCTCAGATAAAATTATACTAAACTAAGCACTCGTCTCGAATGTTGCCATTGCGAGTGAAGCGCCCCCTAACCACATGGCCAATAAAGTTTGTTAAATTTCACGAGACGTGTACCAAGCTGGAAAGTTCGTTTATGAATTCTTTGATGTTGCAGAAGCGTGATTGACGTATTACATTTTTTGTAACTTTTTTTTTCTATGTTCTTCCTATTAAATTAACAGTTTTATTTTTCTTAACATGTACAAGGTATTAACGAGCTAATCTTGTAACTAATCTAAACACCAGGACCTATTACTAACGGATAAATAACACAGGGCCTGCGAATTTAAACTTCATAAAAGTTGTTTTTGGTTTTAATAACGGATTTTCCATAATTCGGCTACGCAGATTTCGAAAATAATATTCGTTTTTTTTCAAATCGGGAAGAAAAAAAACGCTTACTTATTTCGTTTGTTAACAAAAATTCAGACAAAGGGAAGAACATTGATGTCAAACGAATATGCATCCTCATTCATCCTGACGTTTTAGTGAAATCTACGTCTTTTAGTCTCAAACTATGCGTTGTGGTTTTTCTTTTATGTATTGCGTTAATGACGTTTTGTGAAAACTCTGTACGTGATGAAGAAAAATGGATATCATTTTCGGATTCAGCGTACATGAATTACCGTATAACATGTAAAAATTTCAAGACAATCAAACCATGTTTTTACCGATTTCATAATAATTTACCTGTTTTTATAAATGTGCACGTACACTTGCATGCGCACAAATATTTGTTCTGCGAATATATTTGCTTGTGTTTTGGTAGAATCGGCGAAACGTCGGTGGCGAGAGGGCGCACCTCCTGAGCCCTTTTGTATTGAGATGAATGAATTCTGTCTTTCAGCATAGGTACGCTTTTATGCACATACCGCTGTGACGAGTAGACAAATAATTCCGATAAAAATTGTCGTAATCAACCATCCGTATATACAGGGAAAATCTCCAAGGTTAGGGTAAAGTATACTTCCACAAAACAAACAGAACATTTTGATACACAAGTAGAAAGCGTGCATAGCAAAGATATCAGTAAGGGCAATATTTAAAGATTACATCTTCTCCAGAATATTCTGGAAGAGGGTTCGTTCATTACATAACGATTACGCATAATGCTTTTAATGTATTTGATGAAAATCAAAGTACGAATAGACGTAAAACACAAGACAAAGCGTGACTAGAAATCTATAAAAAATCTTCAAAATTGTACATGACTCGGAGCCTCAGGTCCCTGAAAGTTGTACATAACTCGGAGCCTCAGGTCCCTGAAA